TGTAGACCAACAGTGCTATAGCTGCTTCTCCCTGGTCAACTAGATGCTTCTGTTTGCCATTAACTGAGCTGAGTGTGTTTCCTCCTGGACGATACAGATGTTGTAGCCTCAATAGTTACTCTTATTCATTGGCTTCTCATGACAAGGTGGATCAAGGGAAGCTAAATCCAAACCTAGGGTGAGGCGATACTAGAGGTGGCTCCGGCTGCACACATGTAGGTAGCTTCACAGGTCTGGAGGAGCCCTATTTCTAGGTGATCTGTCTGATGTTAATCCAGTCCACCTCTATCTTCCCTCACCTGTGCTGATGTCTCCTGTCTGACTCTAGGTTTGGGATCTGCCTTATCCCTCGCATGTCTGAAGATCGCTTTGACTGCTATAAATGCCACTGGTTTGAAGGCAAAATGAGAGGCTATGGAATCTGTGAGTAAGTAATGTCTGTGGTCATGGTTCTGGGGAGTGGGAATAGCCAGCTGCTGGAAGGGTGAATGGTCCCTTCATCATCAAGGAAGGTCCTGGCACAATTGCATCATAGGGTAGGACAGGCCACAGGAGCTTTCAGCTCTGTTCCAGGATGCCTTGCATTGCAGCAACATCGAATAGGGGCAAGACTGAGGAATAGGCTTAAATCTGTTGTGTATAGGAGGGGGACAGGGACCTAGCCTGCAGGCTGTAGTCAAATAACACTGAGGCCTCTCCATGGTAAGTCCAGTGTTATGGATGGCTCAAAGGTAGCTCTGCAAAAGACCTTGCATGGCTTCATGCCTCTTTTCTTCTAGTCCTTCGCCATCTTAGCAATGTACCCAGCTCTCATGGCTGATGGGTTTTGTGAGCTAAACTATATCATCCCTCAGCCATGTACATGCTTGTTCAGAGGGGTGTTATAATCCTCCTGGAGAGCTAAAGCAGGCTGTTTTTGAAAGAAGAAAACCATTTCCTCTGGTTCTGGTGCTAACCCTGGTTCCAAGAATTTGGCTGATTTCAAGAACAGAGTGCAATGTATGATGCTTTGCAGTTTCCCATTGAAAGGCTTGAGGGATAAGGTAGCATTAACCTATTACCACAGGCTTAGTATGTATCTCATAACCCCATTAGGGAGTTTGGGTGTAACCTAGGCCAAAAAGCAGCTCTGTAACGAGCCTTGGCCACCTTCCCTGAGCTTCAAGACCACTGGATTTCACCACCAAGGTCTCTTTAGACGTTTGTATACTTTTGATGTGCAGCCTAGATTGGTAGCTGGTTAGCAGGAGTGATTACAACCCTAGTTTTGGTCTGCAACCCAAAATGTATTAACCATATCAACACCAGAATAGGTAAGACCATGCTAGTTAACCCACTTCTGTCATCTTAGAGACTAAAGGGCTTTGAAATTAGGTTGTGTTTCTGCCTACCCCTATCATGGGACCATGCTGTCCTCCCTGCCGTAGGACTTGTAGCACACATGCAGGCTGGATGGGGTGATCCATCAGGATTCAGTATGTGGGGTATTACCAGGAGTCAGATGGGATATTACCTGGCCAGTAGAGCAGTATTTTTTACATGTGTTGTGTCTTTGCTGGTCTCTGGAGAATCAAGTGTTCGCTGCACTCAGGGAAAGGATACTGGATAACAGGATGGTTTGAGCCCGTATGGTGAATACTGGCAAGCAGATTGAACTAGGCTCTTAGAAGGATTAAATGCTGTTTTCTAGTCGATACTTAGCAGAAGGCAGATGGATCAGGGACCAGGTTAAGGTGCATGAGCTATTTCTCAAAGTATTAATTATAATCTAGCTACTGCCAGACATCAATATGCCACGTAACACATGACATACCCATGCTCTAGCAGTCCTAGGCATACTTTTGTCAAGTGTAATCCATCTCCCTGCTGGAACTAAACCCAGAAGTGTGGCAGCAAAGTCATTCTGGAGTAGTGTGTAATATTAGCCCTGTTTGGTGTGCAAACACCTACATGTGATCCACAAGATAAAGGCAGAGATTTTAAATCCAAAGGGTCAAAACCATTCTGAGCTATTATGGCCTCCCTGAGTGCTTTGCAACAGAAGAATTTCTCTGGTACGGTGGTTTTCAGTCTACAGTCCATGGACCCCAAGGGGTCTGTTGACAATGTTTAAGGGGTCCGCAAAAGATGACTATGATAAAGAAGTATGGGAATACCCACAGTTATAGTTCAAAGGGATCCATGCCTCCATTCACAATTTCCAAAGGGGTCCAGACCTCCATGTGAAACTTTTTAGGGGTCCACAAATTTTTTTAAAAAAAGTTGAAAACCTCCTCTCTAGTGTGCTGCATTATTTTTGGCTTTGCCTGTGCTCCTGGCCTGCCATTAAACTTCAGTCTTCAGCCCCACCAGAATGACAGGAGCAAGACTACCTGTTCCTTCAATAGAAAGATGATGGAAAAAATAGACAACTTTTTTACAGACTATAAGCAAATTTCTGGTGGTAGAAAGACAGCGTCCCCAGCCCAGGAGCTGTAAGCAGTCCAGCAGGTGCTATCTTAAAGCAATTGATTTCTACAGGTATGGAAACGAGATGGTCTACAAGGGCTACTTTAAGGATGACCTGCGTCAAGGCTTTGGCATCCTGGAAGGCACCTCAGCTGAGCATCCCTTTAAGTATACAGGGCAATGGGAAAACGACAAGAAGAACGGCTATGGAGTCTGGGATAACAAAAACAGGTAACAGCGAATCAGATCAATAATTTCCACAACCTTGGCCTTCAACACTTTGTCTTATTGTTGAACTTGAGACAGGGGCGAGTTAGGAAAAATGTGTTAGTTGCACAAAACTGGCATTGTGCCAGGGACGGGTGTCCCATTTTTGGAACAATAACAAGCCCCAAAAGCTACATATGGACCGATTTTCCAAATTCTGGATGAGAAACCTGCATTTCATTTTTGGATAGGTTGAAACACTCTGTTTAGCCTTTGACTAATGAGGGTTTCAGTTTTGATGATACATTCTTGTGTTTAATAGTAGATAGCGTCTGCCTAAACCAAACCAAATTCTCTTTCTAGAAGTGTTGTCACGGGAGGGTCAGGCATGGTGTTTTCCTGAAAACTCCTGTTTTCTTGAACAACAACAAGAATAAGTGTTGATAGAGTTGTATGTCCCATCACTTATTCTAAACAGGTCTAGTATTACTGGTAACGCCATGATGTTGATATCAAGAAAATTGACCCACAGTTTGCCGTAGCACAAGGTCCAAATATCTTTGCAGTGCCCCTTTCAAAAAAAAAAACGGTGTTCCCATGCTCCTAAGCAAGTTACTGTGGTAGAGATGGATGAAACCTACTGCGTGGTAGCTGCTTCATGGTGATTTCCCATGGGATACAGCTACAGCAAGTTAGCTTTTATTTGCCTGTGGGTGAAAGTGGGCACATAGGCAATTACTGCGGAGCTAGCAATGGGTGGTGAAGTCCCAGCCTCCTTTATCTCCCAAGTGGCTTGAGCATGGGCGCGTGAACAATTTAGTTTGCATTACAGCATCGTGTCTTGCTGTCGGGACCGGTTAGTGATCCGTAAGTTATGGAGGATGGCTGCAAAGATACCAGGATGGAAAAGCACCCGGTGTGCATGGTTCTCCAACTTGTATCTGCCTTCGTGTGGATGAGTAACTATGTCTGGTGTTCATGAAGAAGGCAGGGTAGATTTGCACCTTATGGATGAAATGTTTATGAAAACACAGTATTTCATCTGGATCAACAGTCAAACAGTTGAACGGCAAGCTTTCATCAGCACAATTTCCCTACTATCCCAAAGGTTTCCTAGAGATGTAGCAAGTATTTCATTTAACCTCAAGTTACATTTCTTTTTTCCTGTTATCTTTCTACATATCATCCAATTTCCTTTCTTCTTGTTTTCCAGGGGGGAGAGATACATTGGGATGTGGCAGGATGACCACCGGCACGGCGAAGGCATTGTGGTGACTCAGTCCGGCGTTTGCTACCAAAGAACGTTTCACGCAGATAAAATGGTGGTAAGTTAAAATACCTTTTTTTGGTGGATGGTGTTGAATCATTGGCTCTTGGCAACACCTACCTAAGAGAAGAAGATGAAGACTTTTATGAGGCATCCTCATGTAAGGGAGGCGATATGATGTTACCACCAAGTCATCACAACTCTTGAAAAGTGTGGCCCAGAACAGTTCACATACCCATGAGGCTCTGCATTTGATCTCCTTGAGGTCCATCTGTGTCTACACAGGGTTACTTTTCCTTACTCATGGTACAAGAATAAGAGGGACCTGACACATGCACTCTTGTTGTGGCAGCTAGGAAGCCCAATCATGAATCAGGACCCCTTTTTCCCGGATGGCGTATAGGCTCTGCCCTGAAGGCTTGCAGCCCCAAAATCTCCTTGAACTTGCTGCTCCAAGAAGTCAATGAGGCCAAGGACTGGGCAAGATTCATTCATATCTAACTTGAGATTCTCTAGACAAAATGACTAGAATTGGCTGGAAAAAAAAGGCCATCCTGTCTCATTATTCACATGTTAATAATTTAGTCCTAAATTGGGATGAAAAGTCAAGTAGGAAATGTCATGTTAGAAATTACTTCTTGGACTCCATTCTGGGAGGCCTGAAATAGGCAATTTCAAACCAAAACTCTCTGGTTTTTAGCAGTGGCTTCACTTTCTTTTTCCGGTGGAAAGTATCCATTTTTGCAACGTTTTCCAAGGAAATCTTCAATTTTTTTGTTTTTTTTAAAGGGCCTTTCTTTTTCTGCATCAGGAAAATCATTTCAGGTGGAAAATGTGAATAATGACTACATCTCTGTGTGTAATGGTAGCTATAGGAGGATGAAAGCGCTTGAATAGGAATGGCCCTGTCTTGCCCCTCTCTTGCTGTGTCCTCCTAGTGTCAAGTTTTCCTCTGCGTTTCTGATTTAACATGGTGATAAGTGTCTTGCTTCTGTTTGGAATTCATATTATTCAGCCAAGCAAGAGATACTCTGGAGCGTTTTGTTGGTCCTGCAATCTGTGCTCTGAGTTACAGCAGCACATGAACTGGTAGATCATCAACTCAGTCAAGTGGGTTACATCTATATATGCATTAGTGACTGCAGTCACAGAAGAGGTGCTCCATCAGAAAGACCGCTGGCTTGATCCGCAGTTCGTAGTGACTGCTGTTTCCCAGCACACTTGACCTGGGGAATCAATTGGGTGCTGATACAGTATCTCTGAGTGAAACACCATTATCCACTTGCTTGCATAAGACACCTTTATCCCATGGTGCCTGCCTGATAAACTCTTACCATGCCATGTCCTTTCCAGTCTATGACCTGCTGTAGATTACCTGCCAGATGTCTCGGAAAGAAGATATCTGAAGCTCATGACATTTGTGATGTGTAACCAGAGATTGTCTCTGCTTTGGACAAAGAAGCCAGTGTGGGGTGTGTGTCACTTAAACACTTTCCTTCCCTGTTCCTAAATCCCATAGGGCTCTGGGATTCTGCTTTTGGAAGATGACTCTATCTATGAAGGCAGCTTCACGGAAGATCTGCTGTTCGTTGGAAAGGTGAGTGTTTCACCGAATCTCAACTCAGCTGCGTTACTGCTCGTTTGTTCGAGAAAGCTGAGACTTGTGTTGAAAGTTAATCATTTTCTCCCTAATTAACCCTTAAAGTTCCTTCCAGTTTTTCTTGCCTGGATCATGTTAGCAATTTTGGAAGGCTAAATTTCAGAATGGACCCAATTTCAGCACCCACCTCTGGCATTGCCGAATCCGATGCCAGATTTGTATTGCAGGATGCAAACTTTCATTTTCTTTTTAAAAATAGCTTCCAGCCTTCATAGTGGCTGAGCAAAGCCTGTGAGGAGAACAGCAGAGAAGTACCAGAGTCTGCAATGGCATAAAACAATGGCTGAAGGATGAACTGCCCTGTTTGATTTATCATCTTAACTTCCAAAACTGAAGAATGACCATTTAAATGTCAACCTTGTCAAGCATTTCATTGCTGATCACTAATTAAATTAGCCAGTTGATGAGCTCACCCTTCAACCTTCTAGCTTGCCATTACAAATATGCTTTGCATATGAAGCATGGAGTGAGTGGCTGGTATCCTATTGATCTGCTTTCAAAGTAAATAAGTTGGGCGCTCCCGGATGAATGATAAAATATTCTGAAGGTAGCTTCCTCCTTCTGGTTGCTAGTCCATGGTTGCTGGGGCCTGCCACAGCTTCTAGGTAGGCTGAGATCTAATGTAGTTGGAGCATTTGGACACAACTACATCCAAAATGAACGTTCATATCAGGTGGCTGGTTTTGAAAATCTCAGTTCTTCAACTTAAGCAGCAAGTGCCCTGCTATTGGCATCAATGATCCAAGGTTCAAACCCCCAAAGGATTAGCTTTGGTTGTACTCTGTTTGGGAGCCAGTTTATATTGACCTCTTTAGTTTGAATCAACTAACTTGTAACACTTCCAGCGGCCCAGGTGTGCTGTAGCTTCCCCAGTTCTTGAAACAAGGAGCATGTGGTTTGCTTTGGTAGCAACACGTGTTTGCAAGAAACCCATTACCTACATAAATCCAACTCCATTGTCCTTTTGCTCACTTGGTCGTACCCATAGGCGACTGATGCCTCCTGAGTCTGTGGGGGCACCAGATCACCGACCTAGGGGAGTCCCTCAGTGGCCAATCGCCAACAGCAGCCGATAGTTGAGCCAGTGGTGCTACCAGGGGGTGCACGGCCAATCTCGGGGGGTGCACATGCACCCACGTGCACCTGCTATGCATCACCAATGGTCATACCTTCTAGTAATTTAAGGAACAGGGGAATAACTAAATGAGAATTAAAGTTTCCAGATCCTACTCAGCCCAGTTATAGGTTAGACAAGCATTTGGATGAGAGAGTTTTAATGGGAATGGCCCTGCTTTGAGCAGGGGATGGATTAGATGAGCTCCTGAAAGTCCTTCCAGCTCAAAATTTCTGTGATTCTTTAAATTTTTGGCTGGACCACCATCATCTTACTGGCATTGGGAATGTCCCTCAATGCAAGTGGATTTCTGCATCTTGGCCGGACATCCTTACAGAGCCGGGGAGAATTAATCAAGTTCCCATGCTGGAGTGTTTCAAGTCTGTGGTCTTTCTGATGGCAAAGGACTTCCTTTCAGGGATTGCATCGACTTCTGTGCTCTGTGGGAGGGGAGCTTGGGTTAAGTTTCCAGTCTCCCATTTCCCCACACTGAGAAGCTGATTGAACGACCTCCCATTTCTGTGTTTTCCAGGGAAAGCTGACCTTTGCCAATGGCTTCACTCTGGAGGGCACCTTTAGTAACAAGTCGGGTCAAGGGCTGCAGACACAGGGAGTCCTGAACACTTCCAGCGATCAGCTGGGCGACAGAATGATCAAAGTGTAAGAAACAGCAACTAATGGCTTGGGAGTAGGTCCAGATTTAGTGAGCCTGTAGAGAAGGACCAGAAGGGGTACCAGCAGACAGCAACACAGCTGTAAGCAAAAACGAGAGGCCACAATGCACGACAAAGTCCGCAAACAGCTCATGACATCACAAACATTATGGGACACTGAATGTGGAGAAACTCTATGACTCTTATAAGGCCCCCAGGGGATTATGGGGGATATATTGTGGGGGAACTCAGCCTAGAGGGAAGAAAGGGGATGCTGGCCTTGCACACATCGGTTTCCATTTGGCAGTACTCCACCCAAATAAAATAGTACAGAAATGGCTCAGCTGTTTCTGTGTCACTGGGCGTGTCTACACAAGACGTTTACTGCGCAGTAGCCTAATAATACTGTACAGTCACGTGTCAATCCGAAACCATGCTAAGACACGACTGCGTAGTGTTATTAGGCTACTGTGCAGTAAGTGTCACAAAAAACCCGTGTGCCAGCACTACTGCACAGTAACTGTAGCTACTGCACATTTAGTTAGTACTTCATTAAGCAAGTACTAAACTAAATGCACTGTAACTACTGCACATTAATGTACGTGTAGATTATGGAATTTGCTACGTTACAAGAGAAAAAAATGTAGTCTTGTTATTGCTCAATCAATTCATTGGCAAGTGCTTCAGACCACAGTGGCCTTTGCCCCATCCATGACTTCTGGGCCTAATGCCTCGTCCTTCCAGGATGGTCAGTCTAACTTGACCTGCTGGATTCCTTCCTGTTGTTCCCAGTTGTACCCACTTAGACATTGCTAAATGCCTTTGTGCCTGAGCTGTCTGGGTTTGTGACAATATGAGATTAGGCGAGAAAGAAGTTGATGGCCATATGGAAGAAGGTGTCAGATCTGAATTCACTGACATCTCTTAATTGTGCAGTCAGTTGGGTCTTAACAAATTCCCAGTGGAGACGAGATGGCGGGGAATCTACGACCAGTTTTTGGGGTTCGTCCACTCTGGCTGCAAAGAAGAAACCGAGGAGTCTTTCACGGGGTTTCACGTGCAGACAAGCAAGGAGCTACGGAAATCTCAGGAGTATCTCTGCTGCCAAAGGTGGGTCGTGGATTCCCGTGTGGAGGAGCTCAGTTGCACGGTGGACTTGTACTTGCAATGTGCATCGCTCTTGTGTGTTTAAGTCACCTCCTCCCTGTTTTTCCCCTTGTTCATAGGCTCAGTATCACTTCATTGAGGCAAGTGCATTGTATAAGCCCAGACCCAATCAATTCTTCTTGCTTAGCATGAGGTGAATGCACATACAGGGATCTTTTTCAATATAGGTGCTTACCAAGAGAAGAAATTTGAGAGGATTAAAGTCGATGACCTCTGGAGGCCCCTTCAACCCTACTTCTCTCTATGACTTGGCCAGTCAAACTTGTCTTGTATCATCTGGGAGGGATCCTAGTGTCTCGCTGGCTGCCTCAAGTCACCCTAAGAATGGTTTAACTATGCCTTTGGGGAAGGGGAAAGGTACAATGAAGTAATACTCATCATGAGACGGACCATAAATGCAACGAGGCCTACTTCTCCTGTGCCTCGTGTGTCAGTTCACACATTTGCAAAAGGCTACCAGGCATGTGATTATAATTCCTGGAGGTGTAAGGTAGAAAACAGGTGTGATGTGTGTACAATCTCCCGTCGTTGTCATGCTTGTCTTGATCTCTCGCAGAGGGGCTGAGGATGTACCTGGTAAGATGGAAGACATCCTTGAAGAGCTAGTTCAGCATCGCGAGCTGGAGCTGCTGCAGTGCTATCTACAAAAGGTCTGTTTGAATGCACCCTGGCACCTTGAAACATGGACTGTGCCCTCAACAGCCCTTAACCTGGTCTGTGACTGTCAAGCACTCAGTATAAGCAGACCTTGGTGCCAGTGCAGAACAGGTCTGATTGGCATTAAACTCCTATAAAACAAGTGAGGGGTCCCAAAAGAGCATGGAGGGAAGAGGGAGAACAAGTTAAACCATACAGTAAGTTGATTGGGGGCAGTCCCATTCTAGCTAGTGACTTACTGTTGGTTGCTGGTAGCTCCTTCCCCCTCTTCATCTCTAATAGTCATGTAGCAAAGACTCGGTAGCCAGTTATGCCACGAATCATCTTCCCCTTCTGAATTCTGCAGTGAGCTTTGGTGTCGGGGTGGTCTGCTTTGGAGACTGACGCTCCCTGCTCAGTTTATGGCAGAACAAGCCTACTCATTCCTTAAATCACACCTTTGGAAGAGCCAGCTCCAAGAAATCGCCCAGTGGCTTCTACGCACTTTCAGTCATTGGCTTCTGCTCAGGTTGCCTGCAAGGGGGATAACCAGAGACCCTGATTTTGATCCTCCTTCAAGTTCATTGACAAAATGCTACTTGCAAAGCAGGAGTGCCATTGGTTGGAGTAAGCCTTGGTCCAGAGAAATCTGACTGTCGTCCAGTATGATATGGACACAAGACCTCTGTTAATTTTTCCCATTTTGGTAGTGAACCAAGGCCTGGGGTTTGACCATCTTCTGTCTTGTCTTCCAGTCTCTAATGAAGTCCAACATCTCTCCATTGTTTTCGCAGGTTCTGAATTCTTCCCTCCACCCATTAGGAAAGCTGCTGAAGACCCTGACATTAGCCTTTCAAGCAACCTACTCTGGGACAGGGGCAAACAGACACCTACTGAGCATGGCCCAAGAGGAGGTCAAGCACTATGCAAAGAAAATATGGGAGTTTTACCAGTAAGTTCAGTGTGGGAATGGCTTCCTCATGAAACAGGAGAAGGCTTGCTGAGCAGGACATATAGCTTTTTCCCTTGGGCAAAGAAGAGACATTGCATTTGCCCCTGGACACGTTGTGCCTGTAATATATTTTGTCCAAGAACAGAAATATCCTGGGGTTGGCGGGTACACACGTTGCCCTTCTAATCAGGGTTTGGTGAATGGCTGAATGCTTTTCTGCCAAGCATTCAGTGGTGTAATCCTGGAATAACTGCTCAGATGCGCTTTGTAACATCTCAGGATAAACTGTTAAGACTTCATATCCCATGAACCTTTTTAGGATTTATCAAAGGGACAATGGACAGAGGCATTTGAACCATTGCACTTTGCCCCAGGATAAAATGGCTTATCCCAGGACAAATGCAACATCTTTTTGTAGCCTTGGTGACTAGAGCTGCTTTGTCACATCTGCCACACCTGTCCAAGCCAAATGCATTTCTCTTGAGGAAGTTCTTTCAGTTATGAAGCTCTGTAGGTGATCATATAACAGTAGTGGGGTCATCTATACCCAATACTTTCTTACCTCATTACTCCATATGCAAATGTAAGAACAGGGACATAACGAGACTGGATGTGGTTCATCTAGTCAGCATCCTGTCTGACAAGGACAGGAGGTATTTTAAGGGAAGGGGCAAGGAATGACATAGTCGGTGGACATGACATGATTACCCCAACGTTCTCCTAAGTCATCTTTCAAAGATACCCTATTTTGTAAATGGCTATGAAGAAAAATGGGTTCTTTGGTTTGTACAAAGCCATGGAAGGTAATGTAGCTGCACGTGTATGCTAAGGGTTGAGTTTAGCTTGCAGAACATCAAAACTAGGCTGGTGCACGCCTCTCCGGCTTGATTCAGCTTCACTCAGGTTTACTAGGCTTATGGGTCAAACATCTCTACTTGTGGATGGAGCAGACTTGGGTTGGAAAAATGGATATCATGCCAGGGTATCATTTTAGTTGCCCTCTTTAGAATAGAGCCATACTTTTGATCTGGGGTTTCAAATGTACCTTGCTCTCCTCCCCATTGGACCATGGGGCTCCCTTGCAGGCTGGACTCAGCTGTGGTGGCAATGGTTGGTTGAGCAGCAGGTGGGAGGGGTGACATCGCCATCACTTACCCCCCCTCACCACTGCACATTCTCAATGGGGCTACATGTCCCCTATTTCAGCAGCAGGCCCCACCTCCAAATTTTGGGGCCCTCTGGGAGATCCATATGCCAGACTGCATGGGCTGGATCTGGCCCATGGGCTATATGTTTGATACCCATACTTTTAGATGATGTATTTTTGGAATTGAGCCCATTGTACTCACAGGTAAGTTTGGGCATTCTCTGGAAGAAGAGGCCTCAATGCCTCTTAACCCTTGGAACCATATGCTACATATAGGGGTACAAGGAGGAGTTGTTGACTGAGATGGGAGTTATACTTCCCATCATAACTGTCTGATAGTTGAGCAAGTATCCAAGTGCCTAGAGATGTAACTGTTTTCTGATGGAATTAATTACAGACTTAGATAAAAAAAATCATTCTTGTGCTTAGCAAGGATCACGAGGGATGAATCACTGGCCCGCAGATCATCTTTGGGCACAGAACTCCTTTCACTCAGGGGTTTAGATGGGAAGCCTCCAGTCCACGGATCCCACCCTGTCTCTCCAGAACATGCGGTTGCTTTTTGAGGGTGAACAGACTCCTTTTAAGTTACAAAAGTTTTAGTGTGCAAGCTCTGTAACATTGCTGTGCTAGCTTCCTATTTTGAATCCTGGGCTAGTCCTAATTCATCTGTAAGTGATTTGCTCTTTATTAAAAAAAAAAAAAAAAAAAAAAAAAAAAAAAAAAAAAAAGAGGCTAAATCATGGTTCTTGCTTTCCTTTCAGAGGTTTGCTACACTTGGCCCTGGAGCAGAAAGGCCACCCACTGGCAGAGATGGAAGATGCAGAGACAAGGTAGCTGTGGCTAATAGTCTTTTGGTTTTAAGCCTCTCACATCAGTGGCGTTTCTTCCAAAGAAATGTTTGTTTGGAAATCCACTTGTTTCTTGGTGTTTGGATGAGTATATCTAAATGCCTAGGTGAGCATGGTAGGAGGAAAAATGTGCTCTAATGGGTTTTCTTCATTACCAGCTTAATGAGGCAGAGTTGCTAAAGCATCTTTCAGTGGCGTGAGTTTGATTAGGTTCAGTGCGGGTTTGATCCGGACTTGGGGAGAAGGGAGCGCTGAGTTGACTGAGTTGGAAAGGGGTACCTAGTCCTTTGGGCTGAAGAGGCCAGCCATGAGGTTAGCCACATCCTTCTCGTGTCTTATTGGCAACAAAACCTGGAGTTCCTTAAACATGCTAGTCCAATGGACTTGCTAGGCTTGGGTAAATCTTTTTGCCCACCTTAGCCAGAAGATGCCCAGTGAGTTTAGAAGGCAGGACAAATGGTGCTTCAGGTGAAATAATGTTTCTCTTAACACTTAAATGAGTTATGTGGTTGAACGTGAGACTGTGGGATATGAGATGAATAGATACTTCATGACCGCTGTGTTGCAGCCATCACAACCTCTTCTTCATTAAGCGTGAACATGCAGAGCATGAATCACGTGTCTGTTATTGGGACAGCCTTTAATAGCTGTCAGACAGCATAACATATCAGACCTCTGGAGAGCAATTAATGCAGGGATTTATTAGACATGCGAAAACCTAGAACTTTTGATACCTTTTATTAGACCAATTGAGAAATTGAAGAAAAAAATATATATTTCTGCAAGCTTTTGGGCTCACACGCCCTTCATCAGGCTCAGGGAAAGTTAACTATGGTAAAAAAGTCCCTATATGTAGGAAATAAACTTCATTTTTGCACAGAGGAAGCTGAAGCTAGAAATCTGTCCCTTTGGATGCAGCTTTTGGCTGACTTTGCAGTAGGGATCATTTGGCTTTTCTTTTCCCTCGACCTCAGCAACCTGAATGCCTACGGCATGATTTTACCTCTGATCCTGCCCTGTTTCTACCCGGAGCTTTTCATGCTCTACATGCTGTATCATGAAAAGGAAGATGACCTCTACTGCCAAGGCATTGTGGACCTGAGTTTGTTTTCTGACCTAAAGCTGCTGGAGTTCCTGGATGTCCAGAAGTGAGTAACACGGCAGCAAATGAATCCTTAAAATACCTGGGAATATATCAGTTGGGGAGGAGGGGTTGGTTCTCATCATGGATGTGGGAAGAGAACTTGCCTGCAGGACTGCACAGGTCCTTGCACTTGTGAAGTCCCCCTGAGCTGCAGCAGACATCTAATCGGCAGAGTTTCTGCAAAGGATGCTTCATTCCAGCAGGACAAAAATGAGCTGACATGGGTGGAGGGCTACATGTTATAACCACTTCTTCTTTGGTCTCCTTTCAGGCACCTGTGGCCCCTCAAAGACCTCACCCTAACAAACAATCAGGTAGGAAATATCCCTTTGGGGCAGATTCTCAGCATCCATGTGGGTGCAATTAAAATGAAAGTGGTAAAACAACTTTAACAAATCATAGAAACATAGAAAATGAGGATGGGAAGGGACCTCAGGAGGTCACATCTAGTCCAACACCTGCTCAAAGCAGGACCATCCCAAGTAAATCATCCCAGCCAAGGCTTTGTTTAGTTGGGTTTTGAAAACCTCCAAGGATGGAGAGTCCACCACCTCTCTGGATAACCTATTCCAGTGTTTTACTACCCTCTTTGTGAGAAAGTTTTTCCTAATATCCAACCTCAACTTCCCTTGCTGCAGCTTGAGCCTATTGCTCCTTGTCTTGTCATCTGCCCCCACGGAGAACAGCCCAGCTCCATCCTCAGGTAGTTGAAGGCTGCTATTAAATCCCCTCAGTCTTATCTTCTCCAGACTAAATATGCCCAGTTCCCTCAGCCTCTCCTCATGGGCCCCAGGCAGTTTAACCATTTTCATTGCCCTCCACTGGACTCTCTCCAACTTGCCCACGTCCTCTCTATAGTGGAGGGCCCAACATTGGACAAAGGACTCCAGATGTGGCCTCCCCAGTGCTGAATAGAGGGGAAGAATTGCTTCGCTCGATCTGCCTGCAACGCTGCTACCAATGCAGCCCAGGATGCCGGTAGCCTTCTTGCCAACAAGGGCACACTGCTGGCTCATATCCAGCTTATTGTCCCCTGTCACCCCAGGTCCTTTTCTGCAGAGCTGCTGCATGACTAGTTGGTCCCCATCCTCTGCTGGTGCATGGGGTTGTTCAGATCTAAGTGCAGGACTTTGCACTTGTCGCCTTATGAGATTTCTTTTGGTCCATTCCTCCAATTTGTCGAGGTCTCTCTGAATCCTAACCCTACCCTCCAGCATATCAACTACTTTCTCCCTCTTTCAAACTTGCTGAGGGTACACTCCATCTCATCTTATTGAATGAGGCATGCAAATGTAATTACAGCTGAAGATCTGGGCCTTTGTCTACTTAGGTATGCTTCAAAGACCGAAGAATTGGTAACAGGTCATAGACGTTGGATCACAGGACTACATGGAGAACAGGATTTTTGGCAATAGATACCGTATATATTTGCATACCACATGCACCTCTTTTGTGAAAGGAGAACAAAAGGTGGGGAGGGATTTTTCTTCTTAACCAAACTGTTCAGAATCATTTTTCTTATCTGGGAGATGCATCCCAATTTTTTATTGCTATTTTTTGGGGGGGGAAAGGTAAAAGTGGTATATGAATATATAAGGTATCTTACTAGTAAGGCTGAAAATCGGCCTCATCTTACAACACTGTGGTGGTACTTGTACGTAGGTGTATCTACCAAGCAGAACTAAGCAAAGAATAAGAGATTTCCCACAGTGGTAGGTACAGCTTTTCTTCTGATCTTGGTGGTTATGCAGTGATGGTATAATCCTGAACATACATATTCCACTGCCCTAATGTCTTCACTTTGCAAATATATTTGTGCTAATGAAGTGCTCTTGATGGAAACATGCTTGATATAGATAAGCTTCATGTGTGATCAGCTGGTCGTTGGGGCATTAGAAATGACACCCAGCTGTTTGTCTGCTTTTTTCAGAGGCGCTCCCTGATCAAAGATAAGTGCTTCCTTTCTGCCACTGAATGCCTGCAGAAAATAATGTAAGTTGCCTTCCATGATCTCTTAGTGATAAGAAGAAAAGTGCAGGGTCCACAATTTGTGCTCTGTGGAAATCCTCTGACTTCTGAACCAAGCCAAATTTTGATCCAACGGAAACAATTCCTCCAAAACCTCTTGACTTGATTCAACATAGAAACAGCTGCTTTGAAATGAAGTTGAAACATCCTGGCCCATTTATGAAAGGAGGACGTTAAGATCTTATCAACCTTTTCTCCAGATTTTTGAGTTTGATTAGTCCTTTTCAGAACTTCATTTCTTTTAAATGTACAAGTTCGGTTTTGAATGAAGTGGCGCTTTGTACTGGGGATGAGGGGGCAGCGATCAGGATTTTTGCCTAATTCTCTAAATTTATTATGCAAGGTTAGACAACGTGGTGAAGATACCTGAGTCCAGGGAAAGGTATCCATAAGAGGCTGCAGATGCAGGGCTGGGGGGTGACTAATGCAGGGGACTTCATGCCTATTTTTTGTACTGCAGTAGGAAATATTTTTCTGATTGCACTCTGACTTTATTTTGTATCCTGAAACGTGAGGATTGGCAGCCCTTGTAAGTCTTACTTCAGTTGGTTGAACTGCTCTTTTGTGCATAAATGTCTGCAAAGCTCTTTAGGCCAGGAGTGGTCTGTTTTAATGTATCTGGGTTTTATTACTTACCTTGGTAGTAATGGAACTTCTTCTATTGGTAGCACGACCGTGGACCCCCGGGAAAAACTGGAGGTGCTCCAGAAAACGTATGAGGAGATTGAAAGCACCGTGTCACGGGTGGTGGGGAAGGACTATAAACTCCCAATGGACGATCTCTTACCGCTGTTTATGTACGTTGTGTCACGAGCCAGGTGAGAAACAGCTTTGCATTTACGGCTGCTAGCAATGATACCTCTCGCCTACACTCGATGATCAGGGCTGGCTAGATTTTTTCTGTTGCAACGATTCAAACAAAAACCCAGGTCTCTGCTTAAACCCTTCAGTTTTGCATGGAAAGCAGATGGGCTTTTGTACCAGACCCCCTTGCAAATTATTCTTTGTGCAAATGCTGAGTGGTAGCTCCCATCCCCACCCTCTGTGAGGCTGACTCCTTAGTCATATTCTTCTCCCCATCATGTGCCAGAGCCAGGGGCTCCAACGAGGCATCAGCATCCATCTCTGATGGGAGACCATGGGGCACAACATCCACACCCTGTCCATCATTCCCTTCGGGGAGCACAGTCTATTTGTCTCTTTGCCAAGTAGCTTGAAAGGGTCAGAAAAGGGTTGGCTGTCAGATTAGATAGGAAGACCTCTGGGAAAAGTTCCTGACCCTCCTGGAAAACAAGTCTCATGTATTTGGGTAACAATGGTTTGTAGATTATAGAAGGGACTCTGATGCTACTGAGTTGGCTGATGATTCATAGACATTCATAGACATTAGGGGCTGGAAGGGACCTTGCCAGATCATCGAGTCCAGCCCCGCTGCCATAGGCAGGAAGTCTGCTGGGGTCTAATGATCCCTGCAAGATTAGCATCCAAATGACATTTCAATGAGTCCGGAGTAGGTGCTTGCACCATCTCTGGGGGGGAATCTGTTCCAGACCCTGGACACTTGCACCATAAAGAAGTTTTTCCTTATGTCTAGTCTAAATCAGCCTTCCAGGAGTTTGTGGCCATTAGATCTAGTTACCCCTTGGGGAGCCCTGGTGAACAGCTGTTCTCCCAGATCCTGGTGCACCCCCCTTATGTACTTACAGGCAGCTACCAGGTCCCCCCTGAGCCTGCGCCTCTCCAGACTGAAGAGTCCCATGTCCCTCATCCTTTCCTCATAAGGCTTCCTCTCTTGGCCTTTGATCATACAGTGGCTCTCCTCTGGACTTTCTCAACCTTATCCATGCCTCTCCTGAAGTGAGGGGCCCAAAACTGGATGCAGTACACCAGCTGCAGCCTCATTAGAGCTGAGTAAAGTGGGAGGATGATGTCCCTGGTTTTGCTTGAGATGCACTGGTGGATGCACACCAGAGTTCGGTTTGCTTTGCCGGCCGCAGCGTCGCATCGGTGGCTCATGTTCATCTTGTGGTCAATCAAGACTCCCAAGTCTCTTTTGGTCGCGGTGCTAGTGAGTGTAGCACTGCCAAGCCTATAAGTATGATGCTGGTTTTTCCTCCCAAGGTGGAGCACCCTGCACTTCTCTGCATTAAATGCCATCAGGTTTTGGTCCGCCCACCTTGCGAGCCTGTATCCCCAACCTGTTCTCCAGTGTGACTGCCTTCCCCCATAGTTTAGCGTCGTCCACGAACTTTGCCAGTCTGCAACTGATGCCCAAATCCAGGTCATTAATGAAAATGTTGAAGAGTACTGGCCCAAGTACTGAGCCCTGAGGGATGCCACTAGTCACCTTGTGCCATGTTGACTTGCTCCCATCAGCTAATACTTTTTGGGTCCGACCCGAGCCAGTTCCCCAGCCATCGGCTTGTGAGATGGTCAAGGCCGCAGTTTTCCAGCTTAGCCATGAGGACATCATGGGAGACCAAGATTAAGCTTCTGCAATATAGTAAGAGCTAGGAATTAATAAGAGCAATCCAACCAACCTACTGCTACAAATTTAAGACATACCTGGAAGAAATATTGCATGCACTCCCCTCACTAGTTTAGATTGAAGAGGAACGTGAGGTTCAAGAGTGAGCATCCTTGATACTCGATGCATTGTGATTATGGAGGTTCCCAGGGCAGTGTTTTGCCATCTTCAGACCTACAGATGGATGCTGTTTTCCTAGATTTGGCATGACCACCCCAGTCCAAAATGGCTCTGAGCATCAATGCCTATCTGCAGTTGGGGATGATGTGGCATAAAAGTCATGGTTTGGGGTTTCTTAAGTACTGAGCACCCATGATTCTTGATAAAGTCAGGCATATAGTCCCTCAAATCAGGTGCCACTAGATTAAGGTCACACACCAGGGATTGGTGACTTGAGAATTTTTGTCTCCGCTACTAGACCAGATATATACGTAACACAAGGATTCATGACAAACCTGACTCCTTTTTTGTTTTTTAGTATACAACATCTAGGTGCAGAAATACATTTGATCAGGGATTTGATGAATCCTACTAACGAAGGAGGGATGTATGACTTTCTGTTAACAGCGCTGGAGGTAAGAGAGTTTAACAATGCCAATCAGACTGCAGCAGGAAAGACTTGATGAAACTCAAGTACCTTTTTTTTGCTCAGAAGCTGTGGATTTAGCTTTCCTGAAGACAGGTGATTAGCTCCCCCCCACCAGGGATGTTTTGGGGATAAGTAAATTCATCCAGGTACTATAGAAACCATGTCACTCTCTACAGTATTTCAGCCTTAGATTATATTCATGGCTTCTCTTCATACAAAAAATCAAGTAGTTTGATTTAAAAAAGAAAACGGGGGAGGGAGGGGGGGGTGGGGGGCGGGAGGTCTGTAAGAACTTCCTAACATTGACACAGGTTATATGGTAGACTTAATCCTGAGCAGTCTTTGGAGCAGCGCTTCTCAACCTCATTAGACTCAAAGCACCCCTCGGAAAGTGGCACCTCTTAACTTTCATTTGTTTTTTTGACAACCGAAAAATAATAGAGGAATTCTTCTGTTGCAAAGAACTCAGAAAGACCATCACAGGTCTGACACTAAAGGATTTCTAGTTGAAATCACCGGGTTTATCTTGTGAATTGTGTAGATATTTGCTCACTTAGCAGTGCTAACTATTGTATGGCATCCCTTAAAAAGATCTCACGGCACCCTAGGGTACCCCAGTCCTTTGGTTGAGAGTCACAACTTTAAGATTAGCTGAAGACTACACAAGTAGCATGCATCCATCTTGCTGCAACAGCAGCATTGGTTCTCCATGGTCTGTACCTTGGGTGGTAGACCGCAGGTGTAGAGACCTTCCCTGTCTTGCCATACCGACTGGCCCTGGGGATAATGTTTGAAGTTCTATTTGCAGTTTGCAAACTCACTCTGATCTCAGCATAAATGTGTGAGACTAGAATTGGGCTCAATCTACTGAAAAGGATGCCCACACATCTCTTTACTGACTCTGCTCCTGTTGCTTTGTCCAGTCTTGTTACGAGCACATTCAGAAGAACATCAAGCTCCATCACAGAGAGACTTGGCAATCATCACGTGATTCCCGACGTTTATAATCCAGAGGGCTCTGGTTTGTGCATTTTGATGGAAGGCTGTTAGGTGAAGGAACTGAGTCACTGCCACTCCGGTTACCTTTCCAATGGGAAGAATGCTTATTTTGGATCCGAGCTTTTATTTATAATATAAAAGCCTGGACTCATTAAGATACCACGATCAAGACGCTTCCCTCCCAAAACTCTTGCCCTTGGTGGGACTTGGATCTGTGCTTCTCTCCCTGACAAACAATAAAGCAAAAATGGACTCTAATGCAACAGCCAAACTATAACCAAAGCCACTGAATATTGGCCTGAAATCCTCAAGCCTTCATTTTTGTGTTCTGGGAAAAACCATTTCCAGAACAACCCATTCTGTGGAATGTGTATTGAAATCTTAGCATATTTCCCCTTCATTTTACAAGCGGCCTCTGCCCTATAATCCCATTTTTAACAACTCTTGTTTTTATGTATTTATTTTGTACTGGCAAACTACCCAAAGAGGGAAAATGTATTTATAGGAACCATAAAATGAAGCCAAAAGAGCTGACCAAAAGCTGCATGCCTAGAACGGATCCGTGGATAGACTCAGCTGCATGGAAACAGAAAAGGTCCCTCTCCTTCCCCCAGTAACTCTTAATGAAATAGTGAAGCTGAAGGCTGCGTGTAGCTGAAAGGAGGATCGCGCCCCATCCTCTTGGCCAGACAGGCTGAGCCAGACCCTCTCTGCTCCAACTCTGCTGCATTTTGAAAGCTGCTATGGACTAATTTCCCTTGTTTGCTGCTGTTTAATTGTAAATTATTATTTCCCCTTGCTTCCTG